TCTCCTCTGCCAGATGGTGGCCGACATGAGGGAGAAGCGCTATGTACAGGAAGGCATTGGCAGCAGTTACCTGTTCCGGGTGGACCACGACACCATCATCGATGCTACCAAGTGTGGCAACCTGGCAAGGTTCATCAACCACTGCTGCACGGTGCGCTGGGATCCAGCCCAGAGGGAGGGGTGGGGGGCCAGGGGCTGGGCCACTGCTCACACTGCCCTCCCTCCTGCAGCCCAACTGCTATGCCAAGGTGATCACCATAGAGTCACAGAAGAAGATCGTGATCTACTCCAAGCAGCCCATCGGCGTGGATGAGGAGATCACCTACGACTACAAGTTCCCGCTGGAGGACAACAAAATCCCATGTCTGTGCGGCACTGAGAGCTGTCGCGGCTCCCTTAACTGAGGTGGGGCAGGACTGGCACCCACACTCCTATTTATTCCCCCCTCAGTGCCCTGAGCTCCCAGCACCCCCCCCAGCCTTAGTGGGTTCAGCAGGGCCCACGTTCCCCCATGTCCAGGTATGGGGTTAGGGGACCTCAAGCCCAGTGAGGGAGCCTCAGCCCTTTGAGGCTTCTGCCTCCCCTGTCACCCCTACCCACTGCCCCCTAATTTTTTTTCTTTGCGGAGAAGAAGCTGTAAATGTTTTGTAGCTGCCAGCAGCTGTTTCCTGTGGAAACCTGGGGTGCCGGCCTGTACAGATCCTGTTCTTGGGGGGCTACACAGCCCTCTTGCTTTGTGTTAATGGGGAATTCCTCTTGTGCCCTGCGTGCACCCCTCCCCAGTTTAGGGGTCTCTAGGGGCAGTGGCCATGTTCTCCCCCAGGGGGGGCCCTGCGCCCCCAGTCCTGGGGACTCCGTGCCTGGAACCCTGCCTCATCTTCTGTTCCTGCCAGACCCTGTGGGCCACTCTCCCACCCTGGTGTCTGGAGGCTCTAGCCAGGCCAAGATGGTGGGGGGTGGGCCCTCCCTATTGGGCTGGATTGTATATATGTTAATAGTGCAAACCCAACGCCACATTTTTATAATTGTGATTAAACTTTATTGTACAAAAGTGCTTGGTCAGTATCTTTGGGGAAGGGCAGGGTGGGATGGGGGTAGAGGACACAGAGGGTGGGGCAAGATGAAGAGAGGGAAAAGTGGGTGGCCTGAAGTTTGGGGTGGGTAGAGGGGCCTTCAGGCAAGAGCCTGGACCTTCAGACCCAGCGCCATTGCTTTGGACCACCTGACAGGCTACAGTGACAGCAATGCCAGAAATCCCCCACCAGTGCCAGCCAGAGCCACGTCAAGGTCAGGCCTCCCTTCCCTTCCCAGAACTACAGCTGCTGCTGGGCCTGCCTCTGGCCTCCTGGGAAATCCAGCAGGAGGGAAGGACTGAGGTCATGCAGTACAGATGAGGTCACCCTGCCAGCTCCATCCTGCAGCCCCCAAACCCCTGAGGGCCCACCCAGCAGGTTCTGGCTTCTTCCTCTCCCCAAGTCCTTGGCCGGAACCAGATGCCTGCGGAGCACAGAGTGGCCACCAGGGGGCGCCCCGTGGCAAGCGTGGGGCCCGGGGGTGGAGGCTGGCTGAGCTTTTCCTGGAATGGGCCTGGAGGGAGGAGGAGGAGGAGGAACAAGCGGAAGGGGAAGGTGCGTTGACCAGCTAGGCCAGGAGACAAGCAGACAGCCCCTTCTGTGGCTGTCCTGTCCTGGCACCCTGGGATAGTGGCTGCAGGTAGGCAGAGGTACCGCCAAGGCTCAGGCGGCCCTTCCCTCAGTCCCAGCCTTTCCCACCTTCCCAAGCCTTTTCTCCCCACTCCCTGCCTGCCCTCCCTGCATTTTTGCCCCAAAACTTCTCCCCAACCACCTCAAGCCCTGACCCCTTCCTGTACCACAAGCCCTTACCTGTCTGAGTAACTCAGCAGTTGGCAGGGTCAGGTGGCAGGTGGCCTGGCTGCCGTACCCACAGCTGCTGCCTCCAGGACAAGCTCTGCCCCCTGCCCACTCTTTCATCACTGTGCTCCCATATACCCTCCAGGAGTAGCAGGTGGCAGCAGGCAACTCAGGTGAACCAAGTTCTCTCCCCTCAGCTGGGCATGGCCAACTCTGCACAGGCCCAGAAGCTGGTGTACCTGGTCACAGGTGGCTGTGGCTTCCTGGGGGAGCATGTGGTGCGAATGCTGCTGCAGCAGGAGCCCCGGCTCCGTGAGCTGCGAATCTTTGACCTACACCTGGGCCCCTGGGTGGACGAACTGAAGACAGGTGACTGTGGGGGGAGGCGGGTATGGACTCTTCCCCAGCCCCTCCCAAGGCAGGATCCCCACCCCTGTGGTGGAAAGTATGATGCCTGTTTCTGTTCCCCAGCCCTTGTGGGTGGGATGGGTGAGTCACACTGGGAATGTGAGGCTCCCAAAGGCACAGGCTGAATGCAGCCACTGGCTGATGTCCGGAGCTGACATTGCTGTGGCCACCTCCATGCCCCACCAGGGCCTGTGCAGGTGACTGCCATCCAGGGGGATGTGACCCAGGCCCATGAAGTGGCAGCGGCTATGGATGGTGCCCATGTGGTCATTCACATAGCTGGGCTGGTGGACGTGTTTGGGAGGGCCAGCCCCAAGACCATCCACGAGGTCAACGTGCAGGGTGAGGTGCTCACCGTCTGTTCTAATCATGCATGTTACACCCTCACCCCTTTGGCCCTGACCTCCTGTGATTCTCCTGTAACAACCAGTCCTGCCAACGGCCCTGGCCCCACCTTCACTCGCCCCGTTGTGGTTTTCCCTGGAGTTGGGATGGAAGGGGAAAGACGCAGAGGGGGGAAGTCTCAGCTTGACTATGTCCCCCTCCTCCACCAGGCACACAGAACGTGATCGAGGCTTGTGTGCAGACTGGGACGCAGTTCCTGGTGTACACGAGCAGCATGGAAGTTGTGGGGCCTAACATCAAAGGCCACCCGTTCTACAGGTGAGCTGAGGTCCCCTCAATACTTTAAGGGCCATTTCCCCTCAGCACTGAGTCTTCCCTCTCCTCCTCCTAGGGGCAACGAGGACACCCCGTATGAAGCAGTGCACAAGCACCCCTATCCTCGAAGCAAGGCCCTGGCTGAGCGGCTGGTCCTGGAGGCCAATGGGAGGAAGGTGAGCCCAGGGAGATGAGGCAGAGGTGGCGCTCTGCCTGGACTCCGCCCCTCTGTCTTCAGCCTGAGGACGGCTGGGGCACAGGCAAGCCCCTGAGCCCTAGGTCTTAGCAGTGCCTGCCTTTTGTCACCAGGTCCGCGGGGGTCTGCCCCTAGTGACATGTGCCCTGCGTCCCACGGGCATCTACGGTGAAGGCCACCAGATCATGAGGGACTTCTACCACCAGGGCCTGCGCCTGGGGGGTCGGCTCTTCCGGGCCATCCCAACCTCTGTGGAGCACGGCCGGGTCTACGTGGGTGAGGACTGGGCTAGGCAGTGGGAGGCTAAGACAGGGCAGGAGGACCTGCTCTGGGAGTGGGTGGGACCCACATGGCTCTAGGAGGGGCAGAAAACTGTCACCAAGGTATACTGGGATTATGTGGATGTTGTCTGCATGGGCAGCGGAAGAAACAGTATCTATCCATGCAAGTTGAGAAGGCTGACATAAAGTGTGTCACAGGCTAAGGAGAGGGAGGATTGGTGCTCTGGGAGCAGCAGTTCCCCAGAAGAGGAGAGGGGCAGTGTCTACACAACACTAGAAGAAGGAGTGGCATCTATATAGGCTGGCCCAGGAGAGCAAGTGGCTACAAGACTAGGGAAAAAGCAGCCTTTACCAGGCTGTCGTGAAGATGTGGGCAGCATCCACGTAACGCTGGCTTGTGCCTGGGCGGGCCCAGGAGAGCAGCACCTGCACGGTCGCGAGGGTGCTCAGGGACGTGTCCACATCACTTCCCCCACCGCAGGCAATGTGGCCTGGATGCATGTGCTGGTGGCCCGGGAGCTGGAGCAGCGGGCAGCATTAATGGGTGGCCAGGTGTACTTCTGCTATGACAGATCGCCCTACAAGAGCTACGAGGACTTCAACATGGAGTTCCTGGGCCCCTGCGGACTGCGGCTGGTAGGCGCCCGCCCGCTGTTGCCTTACTGGCTGCTGGTGCTCCTGGCTACCCTCAATGCCTTGCTGCAGTGGCTGCTGCGGCCACTGCTGCTCTACGCACCCCTGCTAAACCCCTACACGCTGGCAGTGGCCAACACCACCTTCACCGTTAGCACCAACAAGGCTCAGCGCCATTTTGGCTATGAGCCCCTGTTCTCATGGGAGGACAGCCGGACCCGCACCATCCGCTGGGTGCAGGCCCTGGAGAGCTCAGCCCAGTGATGGCGGAGGTGGGGCCTGGAGGCCCGTTGTGGCACATCCACCCAGGCCCTGAGCCCTCGCACCCTGGATGGGGAGGGACGGTTGCGTTCAGAGCAGGCGGCAGGGCCAGACTCGCTGTGCTGGAGCCCTCACGCTTAAAATCCATAAGCCTTAGGACACCGTGTTGTGTCCTGACGCCTCCAAGGTCTAGGGCAGGGTTTGGGGACAGGAGCCCAGGTCCGATGCTGGTTGGCGGGGGTCTGATCCCCTGCTGTTCCCCTTCCCTTCCCGCTTCTGGCCTTCTGAGCAGGACGTGGGCAGAGGTTCTATAGCCTTCTTGCTAAGTTCAGAGTGAGGAGGCCTCTCTGACTACTCCCACCACCTTCGTCCTTCCTTGGGGGGTTATATTCCCATTATTTAAAAAAAAAAGTTTCAATTTTAGACATTTATCTTTCAATTCCCTTCAGTGAAAACTGAGGAAATCTGTGTGTTTTCACTTCGTCACCCAAATCCAGTTGCTGCAGTGTTATTAGCACTTTGCTGAGGATGCCCTAGTAATGCTGTCCCTGTCGAGCTCTGGATTAAAATCCTTATCAAAGCCTGTGTCCATGTGTCTGTCCAGCTCTCCTGCCTGCTCCCACCACGGGTCTCCCCCTCCCGGCGGCGCCCGTCCCATGTGGGGACAGAAGAAAGTGAGCACACGGCACGCCCGCTGTTGGATTGGTTGCTATTTCTCCCGTCCCACGGGGCCCGACCCGGCCCGGGGTTGGGGTGGGGGGCTCTGGGGACAGGACATGCAGGGCTGGGGGGGGCAGAATTTTCCTGTGTTTTATCCATTTGCAACTTGGTCACCAATAGAGAGAAATGGGGCTCTGAGGGCTAACAGGAGGGGGGCCTGGCTCTGGGCCCCCAGCCAGGCCCCAGAAGTCCTGTCCCCTCTGGGGAGTTGGGGGAGAGAGCTCTAGAAACCAACGGAGAAACAGAGAAGGGGGCAGGGGCTCATGTCAGCAAACACGGCTACATCACGTGACACGCCAGCGACACAGAAACACACGCCAACGCACACGGCTGCACAGCGGGCAGGAGGTGGGTGGGGGAGAAGGGAGCCGGGGGCCACCCATCTTGTCCTCTGCGGGGCAGGCTGGGGGGGCAGGGTGAATGCATAGAACACATCATATGTACACGCTCAAGGCGTGGCGAGAGCGTGCATCGACCCACGGGCACATGGGGTGGACACGCAGTGTGCTTGCTGAGAGGCAGGGACAGGGAGAAAGAGGAAGGGGAAGCGTTGAGCCCTGGCCAGGCCCGGGACCACCCACGGGGCACACTTGGGCTTGATGGTTGTAGGTGCGTGGAGGGTGGGCAGCACACATTTGTCCGAGAGCATGCAAAAGACACCAGCCTCCAGACGACACTCCAGGACACACACAGAGATGGCAGCCAACAAGCAAACACATCGTATGACGTGTGGGACTTGTAGAAAGTTGGGGCACAGCAGACCCTCAGGGATCCCCTGGTCCACCTGAGGCCCAGAGATGGGCAGCTGTGGGCCACTCGAGGAGGCAGGAACAGCACTCCAGCCACGGCTCCACCCTTCTCTTGTGGCCCCAAGGCCGTGAGACTTCCGGAAACACCTGGACTGAAAGGGGGTCCTGTCTGGGAGGCAGGAAGGAAGAAGGGGGTTGGGCGCTGGGGCCAATTCTGATGTCTCCAAAGACGCCTGAGATTGGAGCAGGAGGGCCGTGGCCACACTCCAGGGCAGACTTCCTGTCCTGCAGCAGGGCCTTCTAGGAATGGACAGGCAGGCTCCCCACCTCAGGACAGCCGACCTGGGGCTTACAAACATGTGGCCACACTGACACACACAGACTAGGTGGGCAGGGCCCACACAGCCAGGCAGGGGAGAGGTTGGCTGTCTGGGCTGGGGTGGGGGTGGGAGGGGTGTTATGTTCCGGGAGGTCACATCTGCATGGCCTCTCTCTCTCACACACACACACACACACATACACACACTTCACATGATGCAGGACCTTTCACCCTGAGCACATGCATGTCCTACCCCAGGGCAGGACACATTCAAGTACTTATGCGTTCAACCTACATGATCCTGGGCCATGGAGGGGGGATTCTAACATTGTCCTTTCTTCCATGCACCTCCTACCACCACCAAACACACAAACCTGCAAGCCATGCCCATGTTGTCTACACAACAGGGGAGGAGCTAGCCCTTTCCTCACCATCAGGAACCTGGGCCCGTACCCCACCTTCAATCCCTGCTGGAGTGGGGAGCAGCCATTGCTGACATTTCAGCAGAAGAGGTGTCCAGGGGATGGGCCCCAGGACCTCACCCACCCTGAATAGCCACTGCCACACTGACCATGCCAGTACGTCCGAAATAAATGGTTCCCAAACCCAAGTTCCCTGAGGCAGAGCTCAGAGCATCCAATGGAGCAGTAGGGACCAACATCGACCTTCTTGGTGAGTGTGTGAGGTTTTCAATCTGGCTGGGGCAGCCCTTGACATGTCGACTCATCAGTAACATCCCTGCAAACAGCCCTTCCAGGAGGCACTCCTGTGCTAACCGGTGTGGGCCCGGACAGGCACCACAACAATGTTAGCGTGCACAGTGTGCGTGTGTGTGCCTGGGTGCGGCCACCTTCACGGGACCTCCTCAGCCTTGGCGTGCGTCAGCACCCTGCGGTGTACCAGCTCTCACGGGCTCAGGCGTATCCTTAGGCAGAGACGGAGAAAGATAAGGGTCTGGGCATGTGCGCACAGGGGCCCTGAGGCCTCGCAGGCAGCAAGCTCCAGTTGCACAATGTCGATGTAGCAGTGTGTGCAGCCACACCAGATATCGGTCAGCAGCTCTGGGGACAGAGGTGAGGCAAATAAGCCTGGATAAACAAACCCAGATGGGGCACATGTCCTTAAATAAACACGTGTATGTATAATACACAGGGGGCAGAAACACACTATGTAGAAAGCCCCTAAACACGCGCGCGCGCACGCACACACACACTCACACAGCCATATTCTAGGTAGCATAGAAGTACAAATTTCTGTGTCCACCCAAAACTGGTGTCCAGTCCACAGTGTGGAGGGCTCCATCTGAGAAGTCCCATCAGCACTTTGGGCACACCCTGGAGATACACACACACACATACATACACACACACACACACACACACCCCTCCCCGGGACACTGGGGTAACTAAGCCGGGAGAGTTTGTCCTATATCACAGGAGTGTCTGCCGTGGCCTGTGTGTACCGGGCCTTCCGGGATCCTCTGAGATGCGAGTGTGAGTGTCTGTGCACACACAACCTGCCCCATTTGTAGCAGACACAGGGGAGGGGCTATCCTGCTGTTGCATTAGGTTCAAACACTCAAAACACAAAATTCCATGTACACAAACTGGGTGTCCACAGACCTGTGGTTTCACACGTACACACACATACCTCTTCACAGAAGACAGGGAGGGGCATGGCGGGCTGCTGTGTTGTACTCGGCCACAGTCTACACAACAACCCAGGTGAAGGGGGAGGCTCAGACCACACACAGACTTGAGGTGGAGGGTGTGGGAGTGATCGGGTGCATCTACACACATCTACACACGTACACACACGCTGGGGTGTCCACACGTCTCGAGCATGTGCCGGCGGCATGCATGTTGGTGTGCATGTGTAATCACGCCTGCTGCTATCTACGTGCGGGGGCAGGGGGTGGTCCATGGCAGGGTGAGGTCCAGGGACTCCAGGGTCTGCCGTGGGGTGAGGGGGGGTGGGGCTGCCTGGGTCTGGGTTGGGGTGAGCTGGAGCAGGGCTGGAGTGAGAGGGGCAGTGGGGGTATTGCTCCCGATGTGGTGGAGGAGGGCTCTGGGAGAGAGAAGGGGGGCCTACAAGCCCAGCGTCCCCCCAATGGATGACGCCAAGACCACCCCCAGCACCACACAGCAAATGATGATCATGATTTTCTTCTGCAGACAGAAGAGGAGAGAGAGAAACAGAGTGACAAAGAGAGTGAGAGAGAGAGAGAAACCGACAAACAGAACGTGGGGAAAGATGGGGAGGAGGGTGTGAGGAAAAGGAGGGAGAGAAAACAGAAAAAGGAAGAGGTCAGAGCCAGAGATAAGAACCCGCACCCGATTTCGCCACTGGCTCAGCCCAGCCCCCCCGCAGGCTCCCAGCCCAGCTGCCCCCAGGCCACCTGCCGTGCTCACCCTCCGCGCCTTGCTCTGATATTTCACAGCTTTCTTGGTGTCGGACACGGCTCGCTCCACATAGTCCACGGAATGTTCCACGTTGTACTCAATGCGGTCAATCATCTCACCCTGCACGCAAAGGAGATGCACACAGGGTGGGTGATGGGGCTTGGGCCAGAAGAGAAAACATCGGGGCCAAGGGAGGTGCCCAGGGTGGCATGGCAGAGCCAGTACCTGGCTTTCCACAAGCATGGCCATGTCCACAAACATGTCGTGCAGCTCTCGGATGCTGGTTTCCAGTTTGATGATCTCGTTGTGCCTCGTCTCGATCTCGTTCAGTGCCTGCTTCGTCATCTGTGAGTCCATTTTGATCTGGGGTGATGGGAGAAGAACAGCGATCACCCTTCACCCCACAAGAGCTTCAACTCTGCGGCCTGCATGTCTGTGTTCAAATCCCGGGGTCATCTGCTAGCTGTAACCTTGGGTGAATCAGTCAACCTCTCTTGGCCTCGGTTTCCCCACCTAGAAAACATGGGTGATAACAATGCCCACCTCCTAGGGTTGTTGTGAAAATTCAGCGAGTTACTACGTGTACGTGGATCAGAACAGTGCCTGGCACACGGAAAGCACGAAAGAGAAGTTTGTAAAATGACAAGAAATAAAACTTGTCCGGAGCCCATCACCTCGCCGCAGGGCTTCCTGCATCACACACACGAGTGAAGGCCAGGGCAGAGAGATGGCCAAGGCAGACAGGGTGATGGAAGAGGGCACGGCAGATGAGAGAGTGGCGAGCAGAGAAGGCCCCAGGTGAGAAGGTGTGCTCACGGGGCACCCGTGTGAGATGAGGTGGCATAATAAAGACATGCACCACATCCCTCAAGAGTCAGAGGGGCAGAGACTCCAACCACTCAGATACACCTTCTCCCCACAGACACCTGGCCTGAGCTAGGCCACTCACTTCCCAAATCACTCTGTTGACCACATCAAGCCACTCCTCTGCTCTTAAGCCTGCCAGCAGGGCTCCCCACTACCCCAAGCTACACACCTTCTTTTTAGTAGTCAAGGCCCAGGCTCCCTCTCTGCCCTTATGTCCTGCTCATCCTATAAGATCCAAGGTTATCGAATGGCAGTTTGGCCAGTGTCCACTCTCCCTGTCTTTGTTCAGTCTGTTCTTTGCCTAGAGTGCCCTTCACCCATCTCCCCATGTCCCAAAATTCCTTGTCTCTCAAGTGCAGCTTGCGTAGCCCTCAGCCAAGGTCTCGACCACCCTGCATTGTAATGATTGTGGGTCAGTGCCAGGGGTCAGCTCTTGTCCGTGGAAGTGGCCCCCATAGAACGACTCTCCAGGCTTTGCTCCACTCTCAGACATTCGGCCTGGGCAGAGTTCTTTGGGGGGCTGAGTGGGTGGGTGGGGTCCAGGCTAACTGGCCTTCAATCAATTTGCACAAAGCTAATTTAACAAAGAGCAATGATCCAAATAACAACTTGCTGAAAACTGTTAGACAATCACAGAGCATACTTTAAACCTGGTCTAGACCCTTAACCAGAGCCATCTGCCACCGGAAACAGAAACAGTGACAGGACTGGGCAGACCCGGGCCAAAGTCCACCGAAAGAAAGAACTGCACTTCAGGGAAAACCCATCCATTCACATATAACATGACAAGGGCAGGGCAGTGTGCAAAATTTAAACAACACTAAAATTTGTTTTTAAAAATAATCTTCAAAATGTAGGCAAATTAATCCTATGGTAAAAGGACCTGCTTCAGCGGGGGAGCTTGTGGCGTATCTTAGTACTAAAGAGTTCAGACTCTGAAACCAGAGTGAGTGTTCAAATCCTGGCTCTGCTCCTAGCTTTGAGACCGTGGGCAAGCGAGTTCAGCTTTCCAGGCCAGTTTTCCACATCTGTGAAAGCGGGTTCCCGTGTGGGGTGTGGTAAGGATGACATGAGTCAGTGGGTAAATGCGAACACGTAAAGTGCTTAGGACAGTGGCCCGCATGCGCCTCCTGGCCATCATTATGGGGGCATTTCTGCCCTGCTCCCATGGAATTCCCCAGTTCCCGGACCAGGCTTCCCGTGGCTTTCATTCCAGGGTGGACTTAGGACCTCGGTTCAACCTGAGCTTAGGGAGGAGAGCAAATGCTTTCCGAAAACAGAGCCCGCCCTGCCCGGGGCTCACATCATCTGTGAAGATGGCCAGCTTCCCGCTCTCCAGCATGTCTTCCAGCTCCTCATTGGTTGTGGTCCTTCCAGCTGTGGGGAGAAAGGACTCCCTGCTCAGGGGCCAGGCCAGCCTGGGAGCTGGAGGTGGTGGGATGGGGCAGGGACCTGACAGCCCACCCTCCACCCGGCCTTGGGCCAGGCCCCCCTCTGCAAAGAGGAAGGGCCTGGCAGGGGCTTAGGCGGCCCTGGGAGTTGTGGGGGCGGGGCACACGCACTGATCTCCAGCTGCCGCTGGATCCGGTCCTTGCAGCGGTCCCGGTACTTGGACTGGGTCGCGTTATATTCGGTCATTACCTCCACGAACTTCCTGGAGAGTGTGGAGTGCTGGGGTGGGGGTGGGAGGACAGACACACATCAGGGAGTCCCACAGCAGAGGCAGGTGCATGGGTGGAGTGGGGAGGATGGGCTCGATTAGTTTACAACCCCTTCTTCAGCCCGGGCCGCAATCCCAACCTCAGAGGTTCACAGTCCCCTACCCGCCCGTGCCCCCATCCCATGTGGGAAACAGTGCGCCACCCAGGCGGGGCACTGAGACACGGCCGACCCAGGCGGGGCACTGAGACACGGCCGGCCCCGGCCCCTAGCCCCGTCCCTGCCCGCCCCCTGTCTGTGCCAGGCTCGGGCCCACCCGCCCCCAACCCGCCCCCAACCCGCCCCCAACCCGCACTGCTCCAGCTTGGGCTCCTCCGGAGCCGGGTTTTGGTCCCACCCAGGTAGGACGCCACCCGCGCTGGGCCGCCGCCTCCTACCTGGGTCTTGCGGATGCGCAGGTCCGCGGAGGAACGGTTCAGACCCTCCTCCTGTTCAATGCTTTGCTCGATCGCTGCGGGAGAGAGGGTAGTGACGGGCGGGAGACCGGGGCAGGTGTGGCGGGGGGTGGGGTGTTTGAAAAATCAACACCCCACGGCTGACCCCATGCCTGGGAAGAGGCATCATGCCCATAGCGAGTGTGGGCAGTAGAGCCTCAGGGTGACGGAGTAGGAGGCCAGCAAATCAACAGACGGGCAGACATTTGAGGGAGTACCGAAGGCAGATAGGAGGGGAGACTGAGGGCCAGATGGTCACCACACAGAAGGGGGCTACTTGTTCTGGTGGAAGAATTGGGTCTTGGAAAGTCCCACCTGCTGTAACTCCTGCCTAACTCCATGGAGGGGGGTGACCCCAGTCCCCTGGAAGGGGACCTGTATGTGGGGAACTCTCCACTTCCTACAGCACTTCCAGGTGGGTCAGGTTCTAGTGACCACCCTTTCCTTGGAGCATTCTAGGCCCAACAGACAAATGTTCCAACACAGAAAACAGCCCTTCCCCTACCCTGCAAGGTGATCCCTATTCCTATTCCGGGAATTCCCACTTCTAAAGGATGTTCTGGAAAAGTGCACAGATTAATTGGGATTCCTGCTTCTGGATCATGCACTCCTGACACTATCATTCAGATTTTCTACAAAAGAGCCATGGTAAGATCTCCTTCTGTACGATCAGAATATGCAGCAGGGATGAGTCACCAGGCCCTCACAGACCTTGCAGGGCCTCCTGGCCATTCCTGAGAACATCACTTCTCTGTTCTGCTGGCAGCGGGGGAGGTATGGGCCTGGATGGCACCCCAAGGCTCCCCTGCCAACACAGTGACTGAGCAACAGCTGTGGCCCAGCCACCACGAGGAAAGCACAGGAATGCACACCCAGGCATCCCGGAATCTGCTGCCCTAGACTCGGGCCCTACTGTCAGACTTGGGGCTTGGGTCTTTTGTAGGATCTCAACTTTTTACAACAAGCTTGGGAGTTTGGTGACATCAGCCCATGTTTCGGACTAGAAACTGAGGTTCAAATGGGTGAAACAACTCACTCAAGGTTGCACCCAAAACCTGAGCTCATGCCACAAGCCCCGGCCACCAGCTGGAAGAGGAAGGAGAGGAGAATCTTCTCTCCTTTTCTGGAGGTCTGAAAGGTCAGCTCCTCCAAACCACTGCCACTTTTCCTAGCTTCTCTCTTGGTCTATCCCTGAACCCCCTAATCCACAGAGCCCTCCTCAGGATCCTATAGGGAGTGTTCAAGGTTAGCGCTCAGTGGACCCAAAGAAACTATTGAGTCTAGAGGTTTTCAAACTATGTGCCAGCAGGAACCTTGTTTCTGAGAAGGAACCTCCGGGGCTGTTCCAGAGAATGAAGGAGAAGCCAGGCCCCTCAGCTCCAGTTCAGCCAGAGCAACCTGACTTGTATATGTTTTATATATTGGAGTTCCTTATAAGATTTCACTTAGAAAAAAAGATTTTGCTACCCTTTCCCCCTTAGAAAGCCAGTTTTGAAATTGCTTCCATTTTTCTTACTGTACGGTGAGAAAGCTGAGGGTAGGGGATTTGTCCAGAGAGATTGATGGTGGAGGCTGGACTCCTTCTGCCTAAATTTGCACTTAGCATGCTCCCCGTTAAGGGCATTTTCCATTCCAGCATACTCTCCCGAGTACAAAGGGCTTGTTTTCACAAATCAGCATCAGAGGCTTACATGTGGCCTCCCCTTGAGTCCAGGAGGGCATGGAGTTCCTGTCCTCATGTCCCTGGATCAAGGTCAGTGCTCTCGGGCTAGGCATCTGATATATCTCCTCTCCCCAAAACCGAGCAATGTGCCTGGGACACTGGAGGGACTTGGAAAATGTTTTCTGGTGCTGAATTACTGTGAGCACACAAAGTGGCATCACAGTAACACTGTTATTCCCCTGGCACCGGCAGACAAGGAGGTTCCCAACCCACAGTGCTTTGGGAGAAGGTGGTTATTACCAGCACCCAAGTCCTTAAATTAGAGTGAATACATGAGCATTTGGCAAGTCCCTCTTGAAAGCTTGCCAGCCCCTGATGTCAGCCATACAGTCCAATCTGTCCTGAGCCAAGGATACCAATTCAGAGCATTTGCTGAGCCCACCTACTGGGTGCTCAGTGCTATGCCAGTGCCTGTTCAGGAGAAATGAGGACTTAATGAAACCAAAGCCACTTGGAAGACTATTTTTCTGGTGGCCCTTCATGCTGATAGAACCAGCAGAGCTCAGTTGCAGTTTGGACAGAAACTGTTCTCTTTCTCATTTCCCTGTCATGTATCTTTCTCCAAAGAATCTATGGGTATCAGGGGGGAAATCTGGGGTTTTATACTTCCTCACTGTGTAGGAATCTGGCTCCTGGGAGTTTGTAGACATTCCTTACAAAAAGGCCTGTTTGGGCCAGGTGCAGTAGGTCACACCTGTAATCCTAGCACTCTGGGAAGCTGAGGGGCGGCGATTGGCTTTTTTCAAGGTCAAAAAAGGAGTTCGAAAACAAAAGGGCCTGAGGGCAAGGAAGGCAAAGGGAACCCCAATTTCTACTAAAAATAGGAAAGAAAAGAAGTTTAATTGGCCAACTAAAAATATTAGAAAAAATTAGCCGGGCATGGTGGTGCATGCGTAGTCCCAAGCTACTCGGAGGCTGGAGGCAAAAAGATCCTTTGAATAAGGGCCTAGATTTGAGTTGCTTGTGAAGCTTAGGCTTTTGGAGCCATAGGCCAACTCTAAAGTAGCCCAGGGCAACAGGAGTGGACACTGACCAAAAAAAAAAAAAAAAAAAAAAAGGCCTGTTTTGTCCAATGGAGGGCAGAGTTCTTTTTCTCCCTAGGTGAGGGATTGCAGTCCTCACCTTTCAACTTGGACCGAACCTTGTTGGCCGTCTTCTTGATGTCTGCAGTGAGGTCCTCCAGCTCCTGTTTGGTCTCTGAGGGGAGGGTGAAGGTGGGTGAGAAGTCTGGGTGGGACCCCAGACCCTTTCTTGCCCCACCCCACCACCATCCAGCAGCAGCACTCACTCTCATCTGGGTTGGGGGCAGCCAGGATGGCACTATGCTGTTTTTTCACCTGCTCCACATCTTCCGACAGTTTCTCAATGCAGCCTCGGATCTCTTCCACCTGAGGCAGAAAGGCAGCCATAGCCAGCCAAGTTGCTGGGCCACAGGAGAATCCAGGGGAAACAGCCAGGGCTCAGGGAGATGGGCCAGCCCCAGAGGGTTGATAACAGGCCAAGGAGGGTGCAGGAGTAGAAGAGGGGGGAGAGGGAAAAGGAATTTGCTGGCTGGGTGCTAGGGCCTGGGGCTGGGGGCATTGGAGGCTGATTACCTGTTCAAAGAACTCATCCATAAAGTGGTCTCGATCCACATGGACCACCTCCTCCTCATCATCACTGTCTTTCGCCTGGGAGGCAAAGGAAGACTGAATTCATCAGCTGTCCCTCCCCAGGCCCCCAAGGCTGGCTCTCTAACTCTCTGGCCATCTCCCTACCACAAATACATGGATGCTCCCAGCTCTAGGCTCAGAGAAGGGGTCTTGGGAGGGGTCCTACGTAGGAGAGATGGCAAGGACACCAAAAGTATCCGATGGCCCAAAGGATCCCTTGGAGGGAATTGGCAAAAGGCGCTTTTTCTTTTGGGATGGATATGGCTGTGTGGGTGCAGAGTAAACCTGGGGGACAGGGATGGTGTTCAATGCAGCTGCTATTGACCAACCAGTATGGACGTATTGCAATATTTTAACAACCAGTTAAATGTCAGCCGTGTAAGAACTGGCTCTAGGTTCTGAGAAGGGTTCTGGAATGGAGTCCCAGAAGCCTGAACCTCCCTGCCATGCCCCTGCCACTCCTGCTCGGATCTCAGTTTACTCCCTTTCTCTTCCCCTCCTGCCCCACCCAGGCAGACATGTCCCCTGTGCAAGGTCACTTCACTGCCAGCGGCAGGCGCCAAGTTGAGCAAGCACAGTCAGGCCCAGCAAGGGCTGCACGAGAGACATGGCGCACCCTGATCTTCCCCAGTCCCTGCCCACCCCCGCCCGCTCACTCACCCCCCTCAGCCGGCTCTCTCCATATATTCACTCCGTTTCATCCTGCCCCTCCAACTTCACGCCCGCCCACTCTCCCTCGCTTGGATTTCCCAGTTGCAACCTGCAGCTGCTCAGCCCTCCACCCGCAGGGCTCAGAGACACAAAGGGATTTACCCACCCACACCAGCACCGCCACCAACACACAGACCAGTGACACAGACAGAAGAGCTGACACGCAAGGCACACAGGAATAGGCCCCTGACACCCACGTGGAGATACTCTGACAAGCTGGTGTTCACCCGCACACAGACCCACAGCAGGGCAGCACGCTGACACGTGTGGACACACAGGCCTTCAGCCACACCCCCAGGGACACTCGGGAGGGCCCGCTGGGCCAGTTCTCCCAGCCTCTGAGCCTCCCGTGTGGGCAGGAAGAGAGGCGGCAGGGAGGACTCCCCAGCGCTACACACTCCTCACTCCACACTCCTCGCTGCTTGGGACAGAGGGCTGAGGGCAAACCCTGAGCCCATCGAGCTCGATGACATTTGGAACACTAATCAGCCCCGATGGAAACTTAAACAGAGTTCATCCTGATTTCCAGAAGGAATCGAGCTGGACCTCAGACAGACTCTAACCCCCAGAACCTGAATGAAATCAAGACCAGACCCGACGAGCATCTACTGGGGGGTGCAGCCAGCTGGGACCTAAAGAGAGGGGCAGGCAGGGTCCGAGCAGAATGCAGACAGGACCTGGCGGAAACCAGACAGCTCGGCCCGATCCCAGACAGCTCAGATCGAACCTAGACAGAGCCAGACGGGCCCCAGATGCAATCTAGACAACCAAGAGAACTCGGAATGAGCAGAACTGTGACAGCGCCGGGAAGAGCCCACACAGCCCAGAGGAGACCTCCAGCTACACACTCCCGAAGCCGCCTGGCCTCCCGCCGCAGCCCTGCACAGATGGAACCCCAGGGGTTCTCCACGCAGACACTGGGCCCCACATCACATCAGAAAAAGGTTCAGCACTTGCGTTTAATTTCCAAATATCTACCTACAAAGGGAGGTTCCTCTGTCTTGGCTCCCAGCTGCTCCCAGAAGGTGGGGTGGCAAAGGTGGGTGGTGGGGGACCCTGAGATGACTGCTGGCTTCTCAAGCCTCCACCAGGCTTCAGGACCGCCCCAAACAGACCTTGGCCCCGGGAGGCTCTGGGGTGCTGGGCTTACCTCTGAAGACTCACCTGCCACCCATCTCAACCTTCTCCGTCCTCAAACACCAGCTGCCCTGCGAGGCCCCCTTCCCCTTGGGCCAGAAGCCTTTCTCTGCCCCTTGTCTGCCTTCAGCCAGTCCCCCAGCCCCAGCCAGCCCCACGCGGGTCCCCAGGCCTCTCACTGGCGCCGGAGCCTGGGAACTTTCTGCTCTCTCTCTCCTTTTCTCATACTAACTTTAGGAAGTCCTTCCTAAAGTCTAATTTCTCTCTCTCCTGTTGTACCTAGAGCCAGTTCCCTTAGATTCTTCCCCAGAGCATCCTGTTTACTTGCCCTCAAGAGAGGCAGAAAGGTAGAAAGTCATATACGGTTTACTTGATATAATAATTACAAAGAGCCGAGAGCTAATAATCCTCCATGGTTTGCAAACACTTTTACATCCATAATCCCATTTGATCCTCATCACCATAGCTCTGGGAGAAAAGCTCAGCAAATAGCATTGTCCCATTTCACAGATGAGGGAACAGGAGGCCAGAGGGAAAAAGGAAAGTGACTTGCCCAAGATCACTCAGGCTGAACGGGGCTAGGAAACCGCGCGCATCCGGGACACGCCTCGCCCACAACCCTCGGGCAGCGACGCTCGGCCCGCAGTACCTCCCCTCTCAGGCCAGCTCCTGCCAAGGCCCAACCTGGGTAAGGCTCTGTGCCCGGAAACCTCGCAGAATGTTATCATTTGATAGTACCTTTTGCATAACTCTTAAATGTATGTTACCTTGTTTAATCTTCATTAAAAGGCTGTAAGGACCATTGGCCGACATCATTATAATCATGGTAAACATTTAAACAGCACTTGCAGCGTGCTGGGCACTGTTCTATGCACTCTGCATGTGTCTCTCCAATTCACTCTTACAATAGTCTCCTGAGGTAGGTATTATTATAGCCCCCTTTTATAGATGGGGAAACTGAGGCATGGAGAGGCTAAAGAACTTGCCGCAGGTTAGCAGCTAGAAGGCCACGTGGCTTCCGCCCTCTGAGCCTCAGTGTCTACATTTGCTGACGGTATCCATCCACCCCAAGTAGTGGTCGGGGCAGCAATGAGACAAGGCAGGAAGAATGCCTGGTGCTGCCAGCACAGGTAAGGCTTAGTGAGGGCTGGCCATTAGTCCCTGCCGCTCCCACGTTACAGGCAGGAAACAGGCTCAGAGAGGTTGCCTGACCTGCCTGAGGCTTCACAGCAAATGAGGCCAGAGGGGGGACCTGAACCTGGGACTGTCTGGCGCTACATTCCAGGCTCTTTCCCAGCTGTCTTGCAGGCAGATGGCAGTCCCTCTATTCCTATGTGGTCCCAAAGAGCCTGTTCTGCTGTGTCTTCGGTACTGCTGACCTCCTGGGGCCAGGATGCAAGATCAGTGAGAGAGCCCAGGGCTGCAGGAAGAGCCCAGACAGGAAGTCAGGCCTCCCAGCCTCTGTCTGACTTGCTGTGTGACTGTAGGCAAATCTCAGCTCCTCTCTGGGCCTCGGATCCCTCTGGAATGGGCAGGCTGGCGCAAGTGCTCACCAGGGGCCCTCGCTGCTCGGAGCAGTGCATGTTTAACAATGGACACGGCTTCCATTTCTGGAAGCAATCTTAAAGAAAGCAGGCTCTAGGCAAATGAGATGACCCAGGACAAGATCATCAAATGTGTCACAATCCACTTTCTGGTAGCCTCAAGTTACAGGTGAACAATTCAAGCTTCAGTTTCCTCATGTGCAAAATGAGGAAGATAATAATTTATATACATCTAACACATGTGTACTAATTACCCTGAGTTGGGCCCTGTTACAAGTGCTTTGCATTTCTTTTTTCATTATTCTTTTGTATTTTTTTCAGTCCTGGTCTTTCAACCAATGCATTTCATTCTAATCCTCACAATCACTCCATGAGGTAGATGCTATTCGTATTCCCATTTGACAGATGAGGAAACTGAGGCACAGGGAGATTAGCTAACTTGTCCACAATTACACAGTATAGAGGTTGCTGATGGGGTGGTGGTGCCTGGATTTGAACCCAGGCATGCAGGTCTTTAGGCTCACCAATTCCTGGAGTGCTTGAGAAGATGACATGAGATAGTGCCGAGCTCTCGAGCACCCTCTGGAACCACCTTGGGAGTGGGGTCATCAGAGCCAAGCCTCCAGCTTCAGTCTGCCTCCTCAGGACCCCCCCCCAAAGTCCAGGTCTCCACATCGTAGACACTAAGTAAGGGCCCTTGTGTGTGTGTCGATGAGGGGAGACAACAAGGACAGACACATAAAGGGAAGGAGGAGAGGGACAGTGTGAGCCAGCAAGTCAGTGACCAAAGAGACAGATGGTGAGATGGTGACAAAACACAGAGGCAGGAAGAGACTGGAACTGGGTGATAGAAAAGTCACGGAGAGCATGTGTGTGCATGTGTGTAAACCCCACATGCATGCCCGTCCGCAATGACACATGTGCTCACCCATGCTCCTCGGGGTGCAAGCGTTTGATCTAGAGGAAGCAGCCTCTCCTGTGCCCGCTCCCCCACCCCCGGCTCTGTCCATCTGTCTCCCTGGCCTGGGCCTCTCCTCCCTCCTCCCACTGCCCGGCCCAGCCCTCTCACCTAGCCCTCTCTCCTCCCTCTTCCCTGCCTCACCCACCTGCTCCCGTCCTCGTCCTCTCTCTGCCTCACTGAGTCATCCATTCATCTAACAAACATGTATGATCTGTGCCAGTTCTCTCCTGGGCGCTGCTGGGGATATGGTGACATGACAGGCGAGAAGGGCCTGCCTCCAAGGAGCTGACATTCCAGCGGGGGGAGACAGACAATAGAAAACCAACAAGATAATTTCAGATTGTGCTAAATAGCAGGAAGGAGATAAACAGGAAGATGCGACAGAGAGAAACGGGTATGGGGGAAGGCTTTATTCATACAGACGGGCAGGGAGGGCCTTTCTGGGGAGGTGACATTTGAGCTGAGTCCTGAAGGAGCCAACTGTGCCACCATGTGGAGGAGACAGAATTCAAGGCAGAGGGAATGGTAGTCTAGGCAGAGGGAGCAGCATTCTGGGCACAGGGAACAGCAATCTGGGCAGAGGGAACAGTATTCTAGGCAGAGGAAGTGTTCTGGGTAGACAGAACAGGATTCTGGGCAGAGGGAACGAGCATGAAGGCCCTCGAGCAGGGATAAACGTGATGCGTTTGAACAGCAGAAAGCAGCCCTGTGCAACTGGAGGATGTCAGTCGTCACCCGGGGTTCTCTTGGTCTCTGCCTACTCTCTGTAACACTGGGCCAAACTTTCATGCTGCTATTTCAGGACTGCATTTCTAATGCACCTACTGCGCCTGCCCCACACCTGAGGGCCACACACAGGTATCGGCTGCTGCCTTCAGGGCACGTGACTTGTCCTTTGGCAGCCTCAGTCCTGTCCAGCCTCAAATCCAGGCCTCCCCCACTGCAGACCTCCCCTTCTTCCATCTGTCTCCTCTCACCTCTCTTCCCAGGCTCCTGTTTCCCCATTCCTGCTGCCTTCCATCCACGTGGCCCCTCCCTTTGCACCCAGGGACACCTGTTTAGCAGATTAACTCCCCATGGCAGCCTACATGTCCAGCCCAGCACCTCCCAGTTCCCAACCAAAGGTGCTTGGGTGAACTGGACACAGAAAAGCCTGGTTCGACCCCAGCTCTGCCATCAAGAGCTATGTGACCTTGGGCAAATCAGTTCTTTCCCTCTGGCCCTCAATTTATTCCAAAACAAACCAGGGGTCATGTCCTGCCCATCTCAGGGGGCCTATGTGATGATGTTCAAGATAAATAAACAAGTTATCTGTGGAATAACAAACAGAGCACTTCTGTGCACTAGGCCCCCTCCTAGGTGCTTTCCCCATATTAACTACTTTTTTTTCTAGGGACAGAATCCTGCTCTGTCGCCCAGGAGCTGGAGTGCAGTGGCATCATCATAGCTCACTGTAGCCTCAAACCCCTGGGCTCATGTGATCCTCTGACCTCAGTCTCCTGAGTAGCTGGGACTACAGGTGTGTGTGCCATCATACCCGGCTAATTTGTAAAAAAATTTTTTTGTAGAGATAGAATCTTGTTATGTTGTCCAGACCGGTCTTGCATTCCTGGTCTCAAGTGATCCTCCCCCCTCAGCCTCTCAAGTTGCTGGATTACAGGTGCGAGGCACTGCGCCTGGCCCTCTACTACTTTTAATCCTCAAGACAGACCTGGGAAACAGGTACTATTGTCACTCCCAATTCACACATAAAGAAACTGAGGACTAAAGAGGTTAAGCAACCTTGTCCAAGGTCACACAGGAAGTAGTGAAATTAGGATTTGAACCCAAACGGTCTGGCTCCCATCTGTGCCCTCAACCACTATGTGATAAACAGACTTGAGAACCCCTTGGGAACCCTAAGGTACTGCTGGATGGACAATCAGGGCACCAGGCTAACATCCCTTCCCACCACTGCCCCCGAATCATCCTCTCAGCGTCTTGAAGACCCTGCGCCCAGGGCCCTCACAGCCTGCCCAGTCTCTCCTGTGTCCCAGCCTCCTCGCTCTCAATTCTGGCAGGGAGACCCTTACGCTCCCTGCGTCTGGCAGCCACCCCTTCCCAAATCTTCAGTTTCCCTGAATTGTGACTAATATCAAAGCCATCAACATTCACCCCTCCACGCCACCTCCAGCCTTCCCCACCTGGCAGTGGATGGGATTCCTCACCTCTGGGCAGGGGCCTCCTGACTCACTCAGATCAGGACTTCCCATCCCCTGCCCCCGCCCCCCACATCCCTGCCTTAGCCTCTCCCTCCTCCCTTTGGTTATCCCACAATTCCTCCACCACCTCGTCCCAACCCACGTTCCACTTCCCTGGATTTCAGAGTCATCGAATAGCCTTGGCAGCATGGGACCTGGATTCAAATCTGGATTCCTCACGTGCTCGTTGCATGCCCTTTGGCAAGTTATTCAACCACTCTGGGCTTCAGTGTCCCCAGCTATAAAATGAGGTAGCCTCTCAGGCTCCCTGCCTCTCAGGAAGTTGGTAAGACTCTAAGGAGGATATGGATGGAAACCTGCTCTGTAAACCACCGTGAGATAAGGGGGTTGAGAGCACCGACCTGAAGCCTGGGTTTGATTCCTGCCTTTTACTATGTGACTATGGTCAAATTACTTAACCTCTCTGAGCCTCAGTTTCCTTATCTGTAACATGAGATAATGCTAGTACCAGCCTCATAGGTTGCTGTGAGGATCAAAATGAGTTAATATGTATAAACAATTAGAACAATGTTGGTTATTATTATTGTTGTCATTTTCCTCATGCCTGAGCATGTATTCAGTAAAAGTTTAATAAAGAAATAAACATTCAAAATTCCCTCCCGCAACCACCAGCTCCTCCTTTCTTACCACTTGCCAATTTGTCTGTCCCCAGAGCCAGCCTGTCTGTCTGTCTGTCTGGGTCCCCACTCCCAAATCCAGGAGGCTCCCCAAAGACAGGGCTCTTTACACGCCCCCCCCCATGCTGAGACTTCCATTGCAAAGGCCAGAAAAGCAAAGACCCGTGTTGACTTGGCAGATGGGAAGCCTAGATTCTGGTCTGGCCCCCACCCACTTGCTTGGTTGGTGACCTTGGGCAAGTCCCTTCCCATATCTGAACCTCAGTTTCCCCATCTGTCAAATGGGTTAATAAACCCTGGGGTAACAACCAACCGGTTTCTGGTAAAGACCCAGTGCATCAGGATGCACTGACAGGGCCAGTACTTTTATCAACATAACACCACAGGCCACAAGCACACTGCGACTGTCAGCTCTGCCTCCTCAGGCCCCAGGTCATTTCTCCAAATGCCTCGGCAACCTCCCTGCTCGGGAAACCATTCTCATCAAACCCCACTCCCAGCCCCTCCAAATAGCAGCCTCCACGGCTGCCCTCCTCCGTCTCCCAAAAACAACTACCTGCCTGGCCGGACTCCGGAAGTCGGGCCTCTTCAGGCCTGCAGACCTGGGCCCACGTCTGCCCCTGACTGCCCAGGATGCCCCAGTTCCCCCCAGCAGAGCTCAGCCCATGTCACACAACCCAATTCCCTGGCCTGTGCGAGGAACCCCCTCCCCTCTCCTCTGCATCCCCATCTCCCACCTCTGGGCTGACCCCATCTCAGGCTCTGGCCTTCTGCCTGTCTCCTGAGGCCACCCTTCCCTCCCTGTCTCTGAGAGGTGCCCCTCCCCACGGGGAGCAACATGCGCGTGCACACACACACACACACACACACTTCATTCACTGCCAGGTGTTGGCATCTCAGTCCCAACCTGTGTCCTTCCCCACAGCATCCCCCAAATCTGGGTCCTGCTGGACTCTCAGCCTGGCCCAGTAACCGCCCCCATCCTTCTAATTTGGCAAACCTGCCCAGGGGGTGACAGCACCCTCCCATCCTCGCCTGACATTCACTTCCCCATCCTCAGATCAGACCCCAGGGCTCTCCTGGGAATGTGGGGTGTCCGAGGCCCCTGAGACCTCTCCTGCCCCCTTGTGTCTTAATGGCCTCCAACCCCTTCCAGCCACCGTCCCCAAAATGCAGGTTCACTGGAGACATCAGGTGCCTGAAGATACTGGGGTGCCCCGGCTACCAACCTCCAATCTCATCATTCGCCCCCACGTCCCAGCACCTCCCCCACTCCATCGCCACGCGCTCCCCAAATATTGGGGTCCCGCCCCCCCATTTTCCCCACCCCCAAGCTCACACTCCGCAGCTCCTGAGTCCGATCCTTCATCCTGCGACGGCTCCTCCTCCTCCTCCTAGTCCTCCTGCCTCTGCCGCTGCTCCCGGTCTCCCGCCTCGGTGCCGGAGGCTGGGGTCTGGGGGCGCCGGGGAGGGGGGGTCGCCGGAGCCGCTGCGGGGGCCCTGCGGGCGGGGGCGGGGGCGGGGCCGGGGCGGTGGGCCGAGTGCCGGCAGGGACAGGGGCCGGGGCTGGCTCGGCTCTGCCTGGGCTGCGGTGGCGATGCGGCTGCGGCACAGGGTTGGATGGAGGGATGCGGGAGCCGAAGCGCGGGGGAGGGGGGCGGAGGGAGGTGAGGAGCGAGGAGGGAGGGGGGAGCCGTGAGGGGGCAGGGAGCAGGGGGCATGCGCAGCCCGGGGCTGGGGGCGCCTGGGGGTTGTAGTCCGGGGAGGGGGACACACGGGGAGGGGGACTGGAGAGGCCCGGAGGCGGGCGGGGGAGGGCCGAGCTGGAGAAGCAGAGAGCTGCAGAGGGAGACAGAGGTTTGGGGCAGGCACCGAGATGCGGGGTGGCCTGCAGGCTGGGTGGAATGAATTAAGGGAATAACCTGGGAAGAGGGGATGCGAGTCCCTTTACCTAGGAGACATAGATTTTACATGTTCTGTCTGTGTGTCTCTGTGTGAGCCTGCACACGACCACCTCTGTGCGTGCCCCTGTGGGAGCCTCTGTGGACACTGGAAATAGCAAGACCGACCCTCTGTGTGGCTTTTTTGATGCACGGAATCTGCCAAGCACTTGCTGAGGACACGGGGCTTGTTTCGCACAGCCTTCCCCGCTCTACGCGTGAGCGTGCCCCACCCCCGCAGTGCTGGGTCTCAGACCTCTGCTTGTCTACCTCCAGGGACAGGGTGCTCACTACCCTCCAAGACCTCCTGGCCCACCTTTAGATGGCTCTGTTAAAAATGAAATGCATCCTTATTGGGAGACCAAATCTGGTACCCCTGAGGGCCCAAGTTACCCTGCATCTCCCCCTTAATACCCATCTCCTCTCTCCCCACCTCCACATCTTAACATCACATCCACTCATCTCCCCCATCAGTGGGGCTTTGGCCGCCAACAGGACAGGCCTTGACTCTGCTTTTGCCAAGTACTTGGTGACCCCCTTGACAGCAAATCCAGCAGGCCTTATCCCCTATGACCTTTTAGCAGCATTTGACCCTGATGACCTCTCTCTTCTTGAAACCCTCCTGTCCTTGGCTCTTTGCCTACCTCCTGCCTCTGTCTCCTGCTGCCTCCAACCTGTGGATGTTGTCCCCCAGCCTTCCTCCAGCTCTCCCTTTCTCCCACAAGCCCTAGACCTCAGGGTCCCCTGGGCACCATCCTAGGTTCTCCTCTCTCTTTACCTGCACCTTTCTGCACCTACGTGCCTCAGTACCACATCTATCCCTGCAAGCTAGATCCTCTCCCCACAAGCAGCACCTACTATGTGCCTTAGCACTGAGCTGGGCACCAAGAATACAGAGACAACAGATGCTATCAGAGACATGAGTAGATCCATAAATGTAGTGAGCAAGGCTGGGGTTTTGATATGGGAGCCCCAGATACAGTGGCCTCAAGCTCGCCAAAGTGCTCCTTCCTGCGTTCTCTGCCAGAGGTGGCATCTCCATTTACCCAGCCATTCAAAGCAGATGGAAAGCTGCCCTTGACTTCCTCCCCATCACAATAATGCCACCATGTTCTGAGCATCCACCGTGTCCCACTCACGATGCTGGTAGCTCCCATAAACCTCCCAACCTCATTATCCCAAGCATACAGATCGGGAAACTGAGACTTCAAATGTTCAAATAATATATCCACGTTCATAAAGTTAATAAAGGACAAGGATGGGGCTCTTGTTTGCGTCTTTTGAATGCAAAGCCCAATCTTGTAAGACCACAATATTGTCTTTCACCGGGACCATGAGAACAGCCTTCCTCCCGGGTCTTTCCACTGGAAGCCCCTTTCAGTCATGTCCATCTTCCTCCCCAGGCTCTGGTGTGATTGACCCCCAAACAAATGAGATAATGTCAACCCTCTTCACCAACACCTCCAACATCCCCCGTGGCTTCCCGGATTACACTCAAAAGCTTGCTCCAGGCTTTGAACCCACCATCATCTCTGCTCTCCTGCCACTTCCCTCCTGTTCCATGGGCCCCAGACCTTCACCACACCAAGGAATCACAGGCTCCAGACCCATCTGAGTCTTTCACTGCATGTTTCCTCTATCCAGAATATTGTTTAGCCCCTTCTTTGATAGTCAGACTTCTTATCCTTCAAGGCCAAGTTCAAGCCTCTCCCAGAAGTTCAGATAGACACCCTCACTAGGTGTGGGCTGAGTCTGCTTCTCCACTAGCCCAGACTGGGCCTGACTCATGCCTGCTTCTCCCAGTAACCAACACAGGTCAGGCACAAAGTAGATGCTCACTAAAAATCTAATGAATGAATGAACGGCATATTCCCTCACATCTTTTTTTTTTTTTTTGAGACAGAGTCTCACTCTGCTGCCCTGGCCAGAGTGCCATGGTGTCAGCCTAGCTCACAGCAACCTCCAACTCCTGGGTTCAAGCGATCCTGCTGCCTCAGCCTCCTGAGTAGCTGGGACTACAAGCATGCATGCCCAGCTAATTTTTTCTATATATTTTTAGTTGGCCAATTAATTTCTTTCTATTTTTAGTAGTAGAAATGGGGTCTCGCTCTTGCTCAGGCTGGTTTTGAACTCCTGACCTTGAGCAATCCTCCTGCCTGGGCCTCCCAGAGTGCTAGGATTACAGGTGTGAGCTACCGTGCCCAGCCTTCCCTCACATCTTTACCCAGGCATTAAGACAAAGAAAATAAGCTCCAAAAAGGCAGAAGTTTTTGTCTATTTTGCTCATTGCTGGTTCTCCAGTGGCACTATGGCACCTGACACATAGTAGGTGTTCAATACGTATTTGTTACATGAATGAATGAGGGAAAGGTGCACAGCTCAAATCTGGCTGCAGCTCTTAAGACAGGCACAGGCACGCATGGTGTGATGACAATTCTAATTCCTCTCCTTGCTCAGTGATTTTGTGCTCATCACATACATGATCACTTGAAATCTACCCAATAATCCTGCAAGGTGACTTCCCTGGATTGTGTACCAGCTTCCTATGCAGCAGTCTCTCTCTCTCTGTCTCTGTCTCTGTCTCTCTCTCCCTCTCTCTTTCTTAAGAAATGGGGTCCTGCTCTGTCACCCAGGCTGGAGAGCAGTGGCCCTATTACAGCTCACCACAGCAGCCTCAAACTTCTGGGCTTAAGTGACCCTCCTGCCTCAGCCTCCTAAGTAGCTGGGACTACAGGTGCACGCCACCATGCCTGACCCTAGTGGACTTTCTTAAGCATCAATATAACCAGGCCAGCCAGGGCTCAGAAAGCTCCCCTGGCTCCCCATTGCTTATGAGATAAAGCCCCAACTTCCTAACCTGGCTTTCCACTTAGGCATGTGTCACCACCCCTCATGCACCCTCTTATTCCGTCCCAAGTTATTTTCCACATTTTCCTACCTCCGTGCCTTTCCTCATGTTGTTCGTGCCCCTGGAACACCATTCCCTCTCATATCCCCAAGACCAACTCCCACTCTTCCTTTAAAGTGTAGCTTCTGGAGTCTTCTTTGACTTCTGAAGCTGGAGAGAAAGCCTACTAAATACACAGAGTACTGGGCCTGTCTCCTGGAAATTCTGATTCAGTAGGTCTAGCCTGGGGCCCAGGAACCTGGGTTTTAGCAATAACCTCTGGCAATTCTTTTTTGTTTGTTTTGTTTTTTTTGTTTTGTTTTGTTTATGAGCCGAGTCCCGGGTGCAAGTCCCACTGCTCAGGGAAGCCCACGGCGTGAGGGGACCCACTTTGGCAATTCTTATGGTCAGCCAAGTTTGGGAACTACAATGTATTAGGTAGACTAGGCTAGGTTATGCTATGTAACAAACATCCCCCCAAAGCTCAGTGATACAACTAAGGTTTATATTTATTGTGGGTTTGGTTTACTTCCCAGAGCATCTTCCCTTAAGGAAGACTCAGTGCTTTAAGGGGAGAAATTTATACATAGCTTATCAACTTGCTGGGCTCCAAGTCCTCATGTTTGAGGACCCCATGTGATTAATCTCTGCCTCCCAATGGTACCTGGCACAGGACCTGTCACACCTGCTGGACTCAGAAGCAAAAGAATTAACACTCATTTGACCTATCCAGCCATTAACCAGCAAGTATTTACCAAGGCCCTGCTCTTTGTGCCAGAACATGCTCTGGTGCTAGATAGAGAAATAGTGGTGAGTCTACAGCCATACCACCCTGAACGTGCCCGATCTCATCTGATCTCAGAAGCTAAGCAGGGTCAAGCCTGGGTAGTACTTGGATGGGAGATACAGTAGTGAGCAAAGCAAACATTAATCCAGTCCTCGTGAGCCAGTTACTTAATTTTTCTAAGACCTAGTTTCCAAATATGTAAAATGGCTCTGATATCCACCCCTCAGGCATGGTTGAAGATTTAATGGGAAAATGAGCATGGAGGCCATTTGTAACATGAGAATCTTACTTAATTCAAGCAGATGTGAAAGAGCACTGTTATCCCTGTGTGTGTGCATCCCTTCCTGTTCCTCCACCCCTCACATCCAGTTTTCATGTTTCATTCATTAGGCCCCTGCAATCTGCTCACACATCCCTCTCCTCACTACTTCCACTGCCCATCATGAACCTGTAAGGTGAATATAAAGTTAATAACTTTAATAACAACAATGGCAATAGCTAATTTTTTTTTTTTTTGAGATAGAGTCTCACTTTGTTGCCCAGGCTAGAGTGAGTGCCGTGGCATCAGCCTAGCTCACAGCAACCTCAAGCTCCTGGGCTTAAGCAATCCTACTGCCTCAGCTTCCCAAGTAGCTGGGACTACAGGCATGCACCATCATGCCTGGCTAATTTTTTCCATATATATTAGTTGGCCAATTAATTTCTTTCTATTTATAGTAGAGACGGGGTCTTGCTCTTGCTCAGGCTGGTTTCCAACTCCTGACCTTGAGCAATCCGCTCACTCCTGCGCCCGGCCATGTTGCTATGATTTATAAAGGTAATATATTTTAAGATATTTCTCTTACTCCAGCAAACTTACTCCACATATAGCCAGACCTAGAGAACAGGAGTGATCTAGGACCCGCCTACTCCTTCATCGTCCCTTCCAATCTGCAACTGAGTCCAACAGACTCCATCTCTCTAATGCACGTTCCATCCCCAGCTCCAGG